CAGGCACCCATTGGTGCCAACTGGCAGAGGGTCCGGGGGTGCACAGGGATCCCCAGGGTTAGGTATCTGCATAATAGTTCACTGAAGGGTGGCATGTGAGATCTCTACTGAGAGCCAGTAGCCCACTAGTTGCCATAATCATTGTGAAATGTGTGTATGGATAAGGGTAAAGGAGCTATGTATCTATACTGAAAATTATGCTCTTAAGGTCTTGGAGTTGAGGCAGGTTACCAGGAGGTGCCAGACCTCGGAGATAATTCCTTTCATGCAGGCAGTAACAGGCCTCTCCCCCCGTCTGGCCATTTGTGTACTGTGTATTTATGCCACACAGTGTAGGCCTATTTGAACCAGGTGCCAAGTCAGAGATTGCAAAACCTAGAGGAAGGAACAAACAGCAGGAGGATGTCCTATTGACAAACACAGACATTGGATTGGTCTGGTATATCTTGAAGCACAAAGGGACACACTAAATAGTTCACAGAGGAGGCAAACTGACAAACATGCTTGTCTCAGGAAAGGGGGATCACAGCCATGCCTGGCTATAAAGCGCTGCAAGGATTTGGGGTGAGCAATACTCTGCAAGACACAAGAGTCTCTTGTTCATTAACTCTAGGCTCTAGAAGGCATGTTATGATTTTATTGTATATGTAACCCTTCTACGTGCATCTCCATCCTTTGTTAAATAAACGTATACTTGCTTTCACTATAACCTGTCTAAGTGCTGTGTGTGAAGTGGGGGGGGGGGGGGGGGGGGGTGAATGGAGGTGGAACTGATAAACGGGGGTGTGCTGTTCCTTTGAGGCAGGGAATCTGTGAATGCTGCGAGTGTCCAATGGAGCAGGGGCTGGACACTCCAGGTAGATGCTCAGAGGACGCAGGAGTGTGCCAATTGCTAACCTGCAGAGTGACAGTGGGGCCTCCGAGGCCCAGAGGGCAGGGCTGGTGCTGCCCAGGGTCAGTGGAGTTGGGGAGCTGATCGCTGGCAGGCACAGACACTGCTTCTCACACTAAAGCCACATGGTAGCAAGGTGCCTTACAGCCCTGGGTACCCAAGGAAGCATCACAAAGTCCTGTGGGAATGGCCAGGGGAAGTCTGAGGATCCTCTTGTAGGCCTCCTCCCAGAGTGTCCCAATGGGGATGGTTTGTCCTCTGCAGAAGAAACCAAGCCTGGCAGAGCTAAGGGGATATACGAGAGGACAAAGCCATCCACCTTAAGATTGTGGGCCTCTGTGGAACTCCAGCACCCAGCGCCATGAGCACAGGGAGCTGCAGAGAATAAATACAGGCTGGTGTTGTATTATTTTTGACTAATATTCACATCTTCTCCCCACCTGTTCCCCTCACTCCACCTGCCCTAGCCCTCCTGAACTCATTCCCTTGGGCCTTGCAGAGAAGCCTCCAGAGGGATGGGGTGGGATGGGATAGTGCCAGGTACATGGCAGAGTCCTGTGGTGTAGGAAGGAGAACCACATATGTAGGGTTCCCTCCATTCACAGGTCTAGTGCCAGTCCAGACCATGGTAACAAGGCATGTGGCTTTACTGGTGGAGGGATACAAGAAACAGTCCCAGTAATTTAGCAGGATTGCAACTGCTTTGGAGGACAGGGTCATAATTCAAAATGATCTGGACAAATTGGAGAAATGGTCTGAGGTAAACAGGATGAAGTTTAACAAAGACAAATGCAAAGTGCTCCACTTAGGAAGGAAAAATCAGTTTCACACATACAGAATGGGAAGAGACTGTCTAGGAAGGAGTACGGCAGAAAGGGATCTAGGGGTTATAGTAGACCACAAGCTAAATATGAGTCAACAGTGTGATGCTGTTGCAAAAAAAGCAAACATGATTCTGGGATGCATTAGCAGGTGTGTTGTGAGCAAGACACGAGAAGTCATTCTTCCGCTCTACTCTGCGCTGGTTAGGCCTCAACTGGAGTATTGTGTCCAGTTCTGGGCACCGCATTTCAAGTAAGATGTGGAGAAATTGGAGAGGATCCAGAGAAGAGCAACAAGAACGATTAAAGGTCTTGAGAACATGACCTATGAAGGAAGGCTGAAAGAATTGGGTTTGTTTAGTTTGGAAAAGAGAAGACTGAGAGGAGACAGGATAGCAGTTTTCAGGTATCTAAAAGGGTGTCATAAGGAGGAGGGAGAAAACTTGTTCACCTTAGCCTCTAAGGATAGAACAAGAAGCAATGGGCTTAAACTGCAGCAAGGGAGGTTTAGGTTGGACATTAGGAAAAAGTTCCTAACTGTCAGGGTAGTTAAACACTGGAATAAATTGCCTAGGGAGGTTGTGGAATCTCCATCTCTGGAGATATTTAAGAGTAGGTTAGATAAATGTCTATCAGGGATAGTCTAGACAGTATTTGGTCCTGCCATGAGGGCAGGGGACTGGACTCGATGACCTCTCGAGGTCCCTTCCAGTCCTAGAATCTATGAATAAGCAGACTAAAACTTTCCTAAGGTAACAGTGTGTGTCAGGGCAGCGATGTACAGATGATATTGGTAGTTGTTTGTAATGTGACCAGCCCAAGCTCATACATGAAGAACCCAACATGCCACCATATACCTAGGAAGCTGACGGCACCACCTATATTAAGGTTGGCCGACATTTACCATTATCAGACTGTTTTCAGTTGCTTGTAACTTTGCCAAACTAATTGCTAGGGCTGAAACTTTCCATGCCAGGTGTCCTTTTTTTTTTTTTTGTTGGGGGGGGGGGAAGGGAGGGAGGGAGAGGAAATTTTCAGACAAAATGGCTCAACGGTTTCAGAGAATAAGGTTAGGAACAAATGTATGTTTCCCCACGATAGGAAGTTCTGGCAACTTTCTTTGAAGAGCTCTAGTATCCCCATGCTTTGGAAAAGGGACTTAAAAATTAGTAGGGGTTAGCTTTTGTATCAGGGAGGTGTCATTTGCTTTTCCCATGAAAATCTGCCCAAATTTGACCAAGTTAGAACCCTTTGAAAATTCCAGTTTGCTCAAAGAATTCTTAGATTTTTCGCAGCTAAATTCCCTGAACATTCCATCTGCACTGAGCATGCTCCAGCTCAAAGGTGAGCAGGACTATCCCTGGAACTGCAGCTCTGAACTGTGCCAGGTCTGGGCTCCTGAACTGAGAGCAGATGACAGCTTGCTGAGCCCAGGCAGCATGGAGGAGGAAGCTGCCTGATTTGAGTGCAGAGGGGACCTGGAGTAGATTGGGACAAGGAGCCTGGGGAGGAGGAGATTGCCAAGGTGACAAAGGAGACTGGGAGTCAGGGAGGGAAACTAGATGGGGGTTGGGCATTGGGAGCAAGACCAAGATAACAAGACGACCATGGGGAGACTGGGACTAAGAACCAGTGGGCAGGAGAAAGGAGGAGAAGGAGACAGATCTGACGAGGAGCCAGTGTACTGGGAGAGAAGTGGTACGGCGGGGCAAAGACTTGAACAAGAAGCTGGAGTGGAGGGGACTGAGATTGGACAAGTACCCCCAAGGAGGGAGACTGGTACTGAGCAGTGCTCACATACTATTTTTTCCACAAAACCCCGACTTCATTCAGTGCACAGGATGGGCCTGCTCTGGGGATGAATCAGGGCTGTGTAGTGAAGGAGGCTGTTGTCTGTAGCACCTCTGCTCCATTTGTTGCAGAATTTGGAAGGAGTGTAGTGAATGAGGCAGGGGGTTGTAAGAAGAGAAAGGACAGTCTCATGGTTAAGGCAGTCAAATACTGCCCTAGAGAACTGGATTCTATCCCTGCCACAGAGTACTATATGATGCTGCACAAGTCACTTAAACCAGTCTTTCCATAGGTGATCACTAATTGGGTGTTCCTCATTTTCTGGGGCCCAACTTGAAACCATGAGGTCTGATTTGCAGAAGCGCTGAGCACTCACAGCTGCAGATGAAGTCAGTGGGAGATGTGCATGCAACATATAAAGTGCTATATAATGCCAAGTACTCTGAAAAATCCTGTGCATTTCAAATTGGGCAGCTAAAATTAGTGGATACTTCAGATGTTAATCTCTGTGCCTCGATTCTCCATCTGTAAATGGGGACAATACCCCCTCACCTCACAGGGGTGTCATGAAGATTAATTTATGTTCGTGAAACACTCAGATACTACTGGTGACGAGCACCATAGAAAAGCCAACTTGAAAATGAGTAATTCTGTCTTCAGTGCAGGGTTTGAATAGTGTGCAATACATAAAGTCTGAGGCCTCATGTTGAACACCCAGGAGTAAAATATTGAATAGCTGTCCATCCTGTGCACTGAATAGGGCAGATCCTGTGGAAAAAAATAGTATGTGATCATGTAATTGAAGACTATCAATGCAGACCCACAAGGGGCTGAATTAAGGTTGCATGGACATCCCTAATTCTGTTTGAGTGCTTGCTTTTGTAACCTTAATAGTGTTCTTTTCATATAGTTCTTGTGTGTGAGACAATTTTAGCCAATATCCTCCACTCCCATTTCTGCTGGAGGACTGCAATGAGATGGTGACAGCAAAACAGGCTGCTAGAATCTGAGCTACAGTCCTCCAAGTGCATAAGTGACTTACAGATTTAATCAGGAAACAAACTCTGAACCTTATTACTATGTATGTCAAATGAACCCATGCACTGAATTCAAGTTTACACTGATGTTGCACTTTTTTTTTTTAGTGGTTGTCTACATAGAAATTTTTCCAGTTATACCAGCATAAACACCCCATGTGAACACACTTACTCTGGGATAAGAGTGGATTTTTTCTGCTAAACTTAAACTGCTTCCAAAGTGACAAACTAAACCAGAAAAAATAGTATACCAGAATAGTACATCCACATGGGGAGTTTAGCGCTTTAAATTCACACCCTACCTTATACCGGTATAACTTTCTCCCTGTCAACAAGCCCTAACATGCTTGCTAACTCTGACCTTGCGCCACTAAACCCATGCATTCAGGCATTCTCATATTACAGCTCCAATCTGGGATGCTACCGACAGCAATGAAAAGCAAGCAAAGGTTCTATTACCTGATGTTGCTGAGGACTGTTCCACTATTCCAACCTTTACCACCTGGAATGGAAAACACAATTGAGTTTATATGTATTGGTCGGCTCCATCACTTGAAAAACTGTGAGCAAGAGGCTCAGACTCACAAATGCCTTTCCCATCACTCTGGTGATGCAAAAGGGCCAGAAAGATGGTGCAAATAGGCAGTGGAGTACTCTACTGGGGATAGAAATCCCCGACTGGCATACAACCAGCTATACTAACTTAACAACAGTCCCGTCTCCCTGTAAAGGGGGCATGGAACCTAGGGATAGTTATCAGCCAGTGTAACTTGAATCAACCCTGAGACGGCTCAAACTTATACCAGAGACCATACCGGTCCCCTGTTGCCCTTAGGAACAGGAATGGGAGCAGAAAGACAACAGAAAATCATTTTTGGCTGCACCACTTCAACTACCATCGAAATGCAGCCACATCTGGGGTGCAACACAGTTTCTGTTTAACAGTTTACCCCAACACTATGAGATAGCCAGGAAGAAAACAGTATCTAAATGATAATTTTCTAGCACCAGAATTAATGCAACCAACACCAGTTAATTCTACACTAGACCTCTCATTCTGATGGATAAAGATGAATTGATCACTGAACTAAGAATCAGTGGTTACCTAAGTGCAAGTGAACATGATCTGATTCGCAATTCCACAATCATTTAAGATGGCTTCACTGATTAAAGAATCCTAGTTTAGCGGGGAAGTGAAAGCAGCAATACAAAATAAAGACAAAGTATAACAAATGGGGAAAAGGAAAAGTTAACAGCAATAAATATAAATCAGAAGTTATGAAATGCAATACAAGATAAAGAAAGCTAAACATGTCAATGAAAAAAATCTATGACTAGTAGGGTTAAGGACAATACGTTTTTTAAATTTATCAGGAATTTATCACTAGGTGAGATGATAAAACTGTCTGATACAGATAAGGCAGAAGAAGCATTCAATAACTATTCCTGCTCTGTATTTGGAAAGAAGCCAGGTGATGTATTCATATACAGTGATGAAACACTTTCCAAACAAACATTAATTAAGGAGGCTGTTAAACAGCATCTTCTAAAGTTAAAAACGTTTAAAAATCAGCAGGACAGTATAACTTGCATCCAACAGTTTTAAAAGATTTGGCCAAGGAACAAAATGAACACTCAATGCTCATTTTAAATAAACTTGGAACTTTAGGGAAGTTCCAGAGGAAGAAAGGTAGTGTCGTGCCAATATTTATAATGGGTAAATGGGGTCATCTGGGTAACTATAGGCCAATTAGCTTGACATCAATGCTGGGAATCAATAATAGAATGGTTAAATAAAGCAATCAGTAAAGAATTAAAGATGGTAGCAGAATTAAATGCCAGTTAAGTTTTATGAAAAACAGGCCTTTTCAAACAAACTTGGTATTGTTTCTTGATTAAGCTAATTTGATTTGAGAGAGTTGTGTTGACATAACGTTCTTGCACGTCTATCTTAGTAGCACATAACACTGATTTAAAAAATCATAGAAAAATCAAGACAGCACTGCAACACTGTGGCTAAGAGGGCTAAGATAACGCTTGGATGTATAAGCAGGGGAACATAGGTGATGTGTAATTACCTCTGTATATAACATTGGCAAAACCATTACTAGAATATTATATCCAGTGCTGTTGTCTGACTTCAAAAAGGATATTGACAAACTAAAAAGAGTTCAGAGAAGAGCCACAAGAAGGATGTTGAAGCCTGGAAAACCTGCTGTACAGTGAAAAATTAAACCAGTTCAATCTATTTAGCTTAACAAAAAGAAGATTAAGAGATGACTTGAACATGGTTGAAGTACATAAATAGTACAGGACTCAAAGAGCTGGTCTACCCCAGAAAGTTATTTTGACCTAGTTATGTCACTCGGGGTATGAAAAATTCACACTCCTGAGACACGTAGTTATGCTGATCTATCCCCCAGTGTAGACAGTGCTAGGTCACAGAAGAATTCTTCTATCACCCTAGCAGCCCCCTCTCGTAAGATGGATTACCTACACCGACAGGAGAACCCGTCCTGTTGGCGTAGGTGGGGTCTCCACTGAAGCGCTGCAGTTGTGCCACCGTAGCATTT